AATTTTTATTAACAGCCTCCTCTCGTCCCTCTTTCTCAATGACACATGTAGGATCCATTTTTTTCACTCCTTGTCCTGGGTGTCCAACAACACAGGCCTCACCATCTGGAGGTACAGGTCCAAATCTCTCGAGGAGCCCTGGTGGCACTTCCTCTGTTTCTAGCTTAAGTATGACGTAATCTAATTCAGCGTTGCCAACAAACACCTTGGCATTAATCTTGTTCATTTCTTTAAACTCTTGTGTTTCGAAGTTAAAGACAACTGTAATATTTTCAATTTCCTGCCAATTAGGTGATTTTTTGTGAGTATAGTATTTGAATAAGTGGGCATTCGTCAAGACATAGTTGTCAAACAGCACAAAGCCTGTGCCCTGCATTATGAAAGTACCAGTTATAAAACAAACTGACTGGCTCAGCTCTAGCAGCTTCCTGACTCTGTGAATTTCACTAAAAGACTGTTGGATCTTTCCAAAGTTCTCCTTCCTCAGTTTCAGTGCTTCCTGGAAAGAATTTCCAGGGAATCTACTTTCCATCCATTGTTTCAGACGTGGAAACTGCTTACGCAGTAGCTTATAAACCTCCTTAGGGTCAATGCTGCTGTTTGTTTCTTTCGCTGCTGTTTTTATACTGATTACCTTCTGCTGTGCTACAGCTAAGACTGATCTTGTTTCTCTTGTGCGCTCTGCATTATTTGATGCATGTGGCGGATTCTGCAGTTTCTGTTGCCCGGCGAGGGCTACTTGATTTACATCTGTTGTTGTTTCTGCATTACCTTTCTGTAGACGATGTATCTGGAATTTCTTCTCGTCCAGTCTATCAATTTTGTCTGTGCACTCAGTCTTACATTCGTCAGTGATGTTGATCAGGTCAAAGGAGCCGATGTCATCAGTGAAGCGGCCATCTCTTTTTAGAGCCTCTTCCACAGTTATCTCCTTCTCTCCGTAAACACAAAGATACTTGAACTTATTTAGTATTGTGAATTTGAGATGCTTGCTTGGTTTTAGGTTTTTCCCTCCCATTGTATCAATGTAAAAGACAGAATAGGAATCTTTTGGATGTATATCTCTAACATCTTTAGTCTCCCCTACCTGTTTATTATTTATACTTGATATGCTTAGGAGTTCACCATCACTGATACAAGAACAAGGAAAATGTGTTGGAACAATTGATTCGTTGTCTCCTGTACCCCTCCGAATGATAACATATTCATCTGCACACTTAACCGTCTTCTTATATACTGTTTTAGATTTTATGGCCTCCAGCACTGTGCAAGGTCGCTCACAGTCAATGTTGTATTTCTCTGAACCGAATTCCACTGTAAATTCATGTTTATGTGGGTCCTGCAAGAAAATCAAAAAACAAAAACAGTTTTTTTTTCCTGAGAATGGGCTGATTTTGCAGATGTGATCGGGGCTGGCTATATGATGGGGCAAGAGGGGGCAATGCCCCCCTTAAACAAACGTCCTGCTCCCTAAAGTAAAACATTTAGAAGTTGAGTAAGAAAATAATAGATTACCCACAAACTGAAAACAAGTTTTACTACAGTAGCTAAAAAATCTGCTGGAAAAGGCACAAATGAGTTTGTGCGTAGGCACACACAGCACTTGGCAGAGAACTCCCCTCCCCCTTGCTAAACATCCATGCAACACATCTTGCCATCCAACACTGCCATCGCCTTCAAGTTGGAAGTTTATAAAGAACTCATGTGAAAGTATTGTGGTTAAGTTAAATCCAATTTATTTACCTA